TACAAAACACTGCTCAAAGAAATCCAAGAAGACACAAACAAATGGAAAATATTCCATGCTCATAGGCAGGAAGAATCAACAATATTAAGATGTCCATCCTACCAAAGGCAATCTACAGATTCAATGCAATAGCCATTAAGTTACCAACATCATTCTTCTCAGACCTGGAAATGGCAATACAGAAATTCATATGGAAACATAAACGACCACGAATAGACAAAACAATCCTTAGCAAAGGAAACTAAGCAGGAGGTATCAAACTTCCAGACTTCAAACTTTACTATAAGGCTACAGTAATCAAAACAGCCTGGTATTGGGACAAGAACAGGCATATAGACCAATGGAACAGGATAGAGATTCCAGAAGCAAAGTCTCAGTTTCTCAGCCAACTCATCTTTGACAAATCCTCCAACAACAACCACTGGGGAGAGGAGAACCTATTCAGTAAATGGTGCTGGGGAAACTGACTGATCACATGCAGAAGATTCAAACAGGACCCCTACCTATCACCATACACAAAAATTAACTCTAAATGGATCAAAGACCTAAACGTGAAACCTCAAACAATAAGAATCTTAGAAAACGCAGGAGACACCCTTATGGAAATTGGAACCGGCAACCTATTCCTGATCAGAACCCTAAATGCCCATACCTTAAGAAATAAGATAGACAAGTGGGACCTCATCAAACTGATGAGCTTCTGCAAAGCAAAAGAAACCATCAAGAGAGCAGGGAGACAGCCCACAGAATGGGAAAAAATATTTCCCAACTGTATATCTGACAAAGGCCTAATATATATATAGGATCTACAAAGAACTCAAACACACTGAAAAGAAAAAAACAAACAGCCCCATTAAAAAGTGAACAAAAGACATGAATAGACACTTCTCAAAAGAAGATATATGGACAGCCAACAGACACATGAAAAAGTGCTCAGCCTCACTCATCATCAGAGAAATGCAAATCAAAACCACACTGAGATACCACCTAACCCCAGTAAGAAAGGCTATCATTAATAAAATAAACAACAACAGATGCTGGCGAGGATGAGGAGAAAAAGGAACACTTCTACACTGCTGGTGGGAATGCAAACTAGTGCAACCTCTCTGGAAGACAGTATGGCGATTTCTGAAAGAACTGGAAATTGACCTTCCATATGACCCAGCAATTCCCCTATTGGGAATATACCTAGAGGAACTCAAATCATTCTACAAAAAAGATACCTGCACACGTATGTTGTTGCAGCTCTATTCACAATAGCAGAAACATGGAACCAACCATGTTGCCCATCGGAGCTGGACTGGATTAAAAAATTGTGGTACATATACACAATAGAATATTATGCAGCCACAAAGAAGGACAAACATATAGACTTTGCATCAACTTTGGTGGATTTAGAGTCGATCATACTCAGTGATCTATCACAGAAACAAAAAACAGAGTACCATATGTTCTCATTCATAAGTGGGCCTTGAACAATTATTATAATACTATAAGAAAAGGATTAGCAGTAGTGGGAAAATGTCAGAGGGGGGGTGGGATTCGCAGTTGAGGGAAACTGCTAGGGGAGGGAGGGGCATACTTCATCAACAAGGGTACCTGCATAATCAACATTTGTATACCTAGCCCTGAATTGTACTCCACATTTTCATAATAATAAATAAATAAATAAAATCCAGTACTTACTCAAGCTGCTTATATACAAGATCATGCTGAAAAATCAGCCACTGGTATTGCTATCATAAATCTCAAAGGTGGCTTTAATTTTAAGTTGACTCCTAGGAATTCAGTTGTTGACCAAATTCTTTTGATCACAAAGAGAGAACAGGTTAAACCCCAGTGCTCATTTTAACGAAGTGAAAATGGAAGCTGAGTAACCATCCCCAGAATAAATGAAAGTAAAACAAACATATTATTTTCTGTGCACCCATTGTTGCCAGTCATTTTTCAAGCTGTTGTATTTTGATTAGAAGGCATGGAATGTAATAGGAATGCCACTAGATTTGGCTTCTACATGGCTGAATAAAGTGGAATTTACTGTGATGAATTAACTATGACTCTCTCTCATCTTTAGTTTTGAAGGCTCAGAAACTTAGTTTTGTCACTACATGCATTCATTCAACAATTATTTGTTGAATACCTACTTTGTGCCAGATAACTATGACTTACATAGTTATGTGGAGAAAACAGACAAGTAATTATTATAATTCCTCCCTGCCCTCACAAAGCTGAAAATCTGGCAGAGAAGACATAAATTAAAAACCAAATGTACATAATCTAAGGCAAAAAACATCCATGCTGTCAATAGACTAATTTATAATGAGAAGACCTTTGGGTAGACCTGAATGCTTTCCTACAAGACCAATTCATCTCTTCCATATAATCATGCCTACAGAAGTATGGACGAACACCATTCAAATGGGAAAGACATTAGGCATCACTTTGACAAACATCTAACTATTTAGGATTCTGAATTTCTTATTCTAAGATTTGCATCACTACCCTGCCCCATCCTGTCCATTTTCCTATTCTCACTACTTTTCTCAAAAAAGTTACAGTCCAGTCTCACCAAACTTCTTCACCTATCAACCAGGTTTCCACGTTCTAAAACTTTTTCCATCTCACAGCTATAGAAATAGTGATTTTTATTTCAGAGGTAGTTAACTACATTCTATCTTTGCAGAGTCTACTAGTCTAAATCTAAGAGGGCATAGTTATTTCTGTTATTTTCAAGTCTGGAGTTGTATGGTGATGGGTGAGATGGGTGGGAAAGGGGCATTTTGGACAGATACACACTGAAACTAGTTCCTAAATCCTCAAAAGAATTATCTCAACCTGAAAACAACCCAATGAGGCACAAAAATTAACTTTACATGAATCATTCCATATATTGCAAACTGGAATATGCTAGATATTATACAAAAGTCAAAATTAAAATAAGAATTTGGCAGGTTAACAGTCCAAGTTCAGTAGCCATTCACTGCTGGTAGTTCTATGAACTACAAGCAGCATTTGTTGTCATAATAGAAAAGGTACATGCATATGAAAAGTGTCAACCCACATTAAGATCATCAGTAAATAAACATTTGTGTCAATACTGAAATAAAATTCTCATGTTATTTAATTTCATATAAAAATAGAATCCATGGTTTTATGTTTTATGACTATTATGGAAACTATGTGCTTGTGACATAAGTATACTTAAGGTTTTGTTGCTAATTAAACACATGGGGAAACTATTTTTGTAGTCTACTAAACTTTGTTGGATGGAATAAGACAATCTCCAAACTGAGGTGATAGAGTCTCCAAGAGGGACATTATGTAAGTGTTCCAGCTAATTAGGTAGGACTTTATTTGTGTCAGTAATCCCAACACCTAGTTGTCATTCTTATAGGTCTATAAGAGGATCACAATCAGAATAGCCAGAAATGATCTGCATGATGCATTTGGCCTAACCAAAATAGAAAGACATATGCATCAACCAGAATGCTAATTTATTTAATGATAATTATGGTTCTGTTTCTTTCTACTTACTAATATTAATGTAGGTCCTAGAGTTTCAGAGATGCTACATAATCCCAGGTTACATTCATTCAACACTGCTTTACATTTGGAGCAAAGAGAATTATAGGAACTTTCCACTGGATTCCCACAGGGAAAGATAAAATAATAAAAGGTTTTTTTTTTTTAATTTCCATAGGGAAAAATGAAATGAGAAAAGGTTTTTTAAAAGGATTTTTTAAGTGTGATCAAATAGTAACCTAAATATACTCTGTGGAGAATATATAGTTCAACTAAGTAATTATTTAGACAAATTCTTTTTTTTTTTTTTTTTTTGAGTTGGAGTCTCACCCGGTTGCCCAGACTGCAGTGCAGTGGCCGCTTCCAGCCACTGCAGCCTTGCCTGCTGGGCTCCAGCAATCCTTCTGCCTCAGCCTTCCGAGTAGCCGGAATTACAGGCATGAGCTACCACACCCGGCTGATTTTTTTTTTTATTTATTGTAGAGATGAGGTCTCGCTGCCCAGGCGGGTCTCAAACCCGTGGGCTCAGGCAATCCACTCACCTCAGCCTCCCAAAGGCGCGGGATTACAGGCTGAGCCACCGAGCCCGGCTATTTAAACAAATTCTAAGTAAACTTTTAAAATCGGCACACTAAACTCCAAAATAAAGGTCCTGTGTCTGTCCTTTCATGAGTGTATCTCCATGGACCAGCATAGAATCTAGAATTTATTAGCTACTCTTTAACTATTTTCTGGTACATAATTGTAGATACACTGATTACTACAAGGAAATTTTCATCCAGGAAGAGCAATGTTTACCTAAAGGCAAAATATACTTGGGTCTACAAATCTTGCCCTTCCCCCTGAAATATGAATTAAATTCCATAGTATAAATAGAAAATTAATGAAAAAAGTAGTTTTGATGAAGATAACTGTCAGAAATTATCATGAACTTCAATCTGTTTTGTTCAGTAAATCTATTCAAAATCTTGATATACTTTCCTACAATACAGTAACAATTATAGAATGTGAAAGATAACTTAGATATAGACTCATAAAAATAGCAACATATAAAAGTATATTCATATTATACAAAAGCACTTTCTATCCAAAAATCTGTAATACAGAGACCACAAGCCAAAAGTTCCCTACTTTGGACTATAAGAAAACTTTTCAAACACTAATTGAAGTTCATTGTGTATTCTGGTATTTTTGATATTAGATAGCCAAACTCTTCAATGACATATTTTATATCACCATCATTTAAACTGCACCACTGAAGCCCATATTTCCCTAAAGTTGATTCTGTAATTGTAGAAAGACTGGTAAGTTGACTTTATCACAGACATTTAATATAAATATTTCTCATCCCCTTATAATTTCTGCATATATACTTGGTGAATATTCATAATGTTGTTTACCACTATGGTAAACTTATGTGGTTTATATCAGGGACATTGGGATCCAAAAAAATAAGTTACAATCAAAACAAAACTTACCAAGCACAATGACCACAGTCTTGAGAAGACTCATCATGGTATCCCGATTTCGCCGGGGTCCAGAACTATGCCGAGACATTCTCATAGTCCTCTGGCGAACGTAGCCAAAGATGTGAGCATAAAGAACCACCATTACCACAAAGGTCACCAAGTTGAAAATGGCCCAGAAGACTAAATAAGAGTCACTGTAGAGGGGTGCCATGTTAGAACAATTGTCAATATCACAGATACAGTTCCAGCCCACACTGGGTATAGCACCCATAACAATGGCCATAGTCCAGATGACCACAATGACCACCACCACCCGCCGGTTGCTCATCCGTGTGTGAAGCTGCATGCGGAAAACCGTAATGTGCCTCTCGATTGCAATAGCCAGTAAATTGGCTACAGATGCCGTCAGGCTGGTGTCAATAAGGCCCTGGCGAAGAAGCCATGTGCTAACAGTCAGTCTCCGAGTATTGGGGCCTGTGTTGAACATTAGATAGAAGTAGGCCAACCCAGCAAAGAAATCTGCAGCAGCCAGATTAGCCATTAAGTAATAAATAGGAAAATGGAAGCGGCGGTTGACGTAGATTGCTACCATGACCAGTAGGTTGGCCAGCATGATGAAGATACAGACAGTGATTCCAAGTCCCATCACCAGCTTGCTGACTGTGTTCCATTCTGTGGCAAGATGTTTTCCACTTCGGTTATAAAAGAAGGCAATGGACTCATTGTAGTAGCACTGTGGTTCGTTCATGGCTGTGAACTAAGAGAGAAAGGAGGAATGATGAAAGAAAAAAAAAACACAGACCCAAATTTAATGATATAGAGATAACATAAGACTTCTACAGTAAATGTGGCAGAAAAACAAAAGCGAAGAACTTGAAGATCTGATCCTGCATCACATTCTATGATTATGTTGAAACCCCAAGTTTTCTCACAGTAAAACTCTCCTCAAGATTAAAGACATTTGGAGTTAAATAAATGACAAGGTATCTGCTTAGTAGTTACATGTCATTGAAGTCTACTAGAAAGCCACATGGCCCAGAAATCTTACTTAAAATACATGAGACAGATGAAAATTTTGCAGAACATTGCAATTGGAATATTTACCATAGTAAAATCTATTTTGACCTGCTATTTAGGGAATCTGTAAACACAGTTGGTTTCTAGATAGGGTATCATTGCCCTATTATTCTGCATTTCTATTCTCACATAGTACATTCCATCTGGGACAGACATTTTGTAATGCAGGTTCCCACAAGGACCACCATTCCCAACATTTCAAAGAAGTCACTATGCATCAAAGGTTCTTTGCCCAAAGCCAGCATTTGCTGCTCAACATTCCTGTGGTAAGCATCGCCTATCCCCACAACTCCTTATCCCCAGAATAGCTTTTGTTAACCAATCCATGACGTTTGAGAACTTTTTCTCTTTTTGGAGAACCTAATGCAACCAACAAAGAGCAGTTGACACTTTGCCACTGCTCTACAAGAAGTATAAAATACTTAGATTAGTGAAGTATATCTTTTAAAATATGAGGTGATACTGCTTTATAACATATTAGCTTATTTTTCAACATCATTAGTTAGAATCTATTTGCTCATCCAAAAAGGATTGAGGCAGTGTAAAATAGAATAATACAGGTAGTCAATAAAATAAACAAAAATAAAAAATTACAAAGAAGAAACTAGAACATTATGCATCACATAGCATAAATCACTCTTCCTGAAGCCTTAAGTTGAGACTCCTAAAATTTAAAAATATTTCTTGAAGAGAGTTCACATTCTACCTTTAATTTTTATCTTGTTTTGCTTCTAATGAATTATTTAGCAAATATGACTGCTTTAATCACTGTTTTTAATAAAATATTCCACTGAATATTCATAGAGTGTGCATAAATGTTTACCAAACACAGAAAATTCCAAAAACAATGTGAAACCCTTATTAAGTAGGCTTCAGACCTCTCAAAATCTCTTTTCTCAGCTAGACTTTACTAGCTTACAAATCATGCTTCAAACATTACACTTAGCATGCTGTATAATTATTTATCTCTTTATTTTCTAAAGAGCATTTGGGAAAAGTGGAAAACCTTGTCTTACACATCGTGTTATCTTTTGTAACTTCCATGAATGCCTCATTCATTTAAGATCAGATAACTTGGCTTGTAGTGTTCCATTCCATCCCAAATCTTGCCATTACTTGGGGTAGTTCATCTAATTTTCTCGCCTCTCATTCTCTTAACCTCATCTCTAATGACTTTCTATTCCATTACAATTCAGCTGCCCATGCCCATGGTCACACCCTGGACTTTGTAACCACCCAGATCTCCCTTTGGAAATGACTGAAACATTCTAATTACTCATCACAACTTCCCATTCTTCAAGTTCTCTCACTTGACCCCTAATACTTCAGTTCTTGGAAATTGTCTATTTCCTTGGCCCATCTACTTTTTTCCAGTGGTTTACTCTCTCCATCTTCCCCTTTTTTCTTATCCAGCATCGAGAGTATATGATTTCAACCTCTTTATTGCTAACACAAGAACACAATTTCTTCTTGAAGACACTGGGGTCAGGTGTCCTTCAGAATTCAGATTTTTTTTCATTTTAACAGTTATACAGGTAGGAGGGACCCCATACATGATGTAACATTCTCAAGGGCAGCACTGCTTAGTCACACACAAATTGTGAAGCAAAACATATAAAGATATGTATTAAATTTGATATATGAAGGTTATAAATAGCCTCATATCAATTCATTCAAAGAAGTTTTGCCTCCAAATGAGCTATGAAAAATCTTTTCAGAGTTTGTTGGATTTTTGAATTTCCAGATAAGGGAGCAGAGGTCTTTATCTTTCAATCCCCTTCCCCCACTGTACTTGCAAAACAATATATTTTTTTAGATTCATCCAGTTTTAGATTAATCCAATTTGTTGCTACTTTCACATGTATGCTAAAGCTTCTAAAAAAAGTTAGAGAAAACTAACACATCTGCAGTTTGATCCCAGAGTAAATTAATGATGTCTATCCTCAACCAGGACTTCAATGTCCTGTCATAATCTGGTTTCTCCTCTAATTATGTCTCTATGTATTCTACACAATGACTATTTTAAGCTTATCTACCATTCTCAAACTTTCAAGCCCCATCTTTCTTCTCTCCATCAGCAGCTGCCAAATAGAAAAATAGAGATCATCAGATTGAAATTCTCTCACTTTTCTCTCACCAAAAAGATGAAATTATCTGTTGAATAATTCATCCTCTTTTCCTCTTCTGTTACAATAGAAGACGTGTACCCTTTGCTGTTAAAGTGGTCTGAATCCCATCCCTTCCTACTATTTCAGGAACCTTGTTTCCCCTCCCTCTACCTTCAGTTTTCTTCCTTTCTCCCTCCTTTCTTGCAACCTCCACCACCACTCTTTCCATCAACAATCAAGATTAAGTCTCTGCTATCTTTAAAAAATAAAAATAAAAAGCTCCCCCGTGATCTCATGTTTTCTCTTCTCAGCTCTGATTATTTTTCCTTGTTGTAAGCAAATTCTCTACTGTTTGTTTTCCACTGATTTCTCATAGTTGGCTTCTACCCCTACCCATCCATTAAATCCATTCTAGTCTAATTATTAAGATCCATATAACTTCCCAAAGTCACTCTAATCTTTGAGTGACTATTATAATGAAAATATTTAGTCCTCCTCTTTTGAGTACCCCAGACATCAGACATGTGAATGACAGGCTATCTTGGGAAATCCTCTTTCCTTGGCTTCCATAACCATATTCTTTTGGGTTTTTATTGTTCTCTCTGGCTGATATTTTTCAATCATTTTTTAGGGTTCCCCTTCCTTTGCCCAATATGAAATTTTCTGTGCTATTCATGTTCTTTGTCATTCAACACATTTTCACTGAGTTATCTAGTTTATCCCCCAATATTTCAATTACTTTATAAGGTCCAAATATTCTCATATCTATTTATTTAACCCAGATTTCCTTTCTTGAGCTCTAGGCAAATATCAAATTGCCTACTAATAAATATACCTATTGACTATTTCATAATACTTCAATGTCGGTGCTCAAAGCCAAACTCAAAACTCATAATCTTCATCATGATCTTCAATCTGGTTCTCCAATAATCTCTGTCCTAGAGGCTAGATAGAGAACCATCTAACCAGTGGCCCAAATGCCAAACCTGGGAATTTCTTCTTCTCCCTCATCCTCTTCATTTAAATCAATAACTAAGTCCTGGAAATTCTTCTTTCTGAATATCTGCTTCACCTGTCTATTTTATTTCAACCTCATGACCATCAGCATTATTAACTACACCAGCTTCCTAAGCTTTCTATCGAGCGCCCATCTCTTCTCTAGAGATTTTTCTAAAACACAAAGTTGATCAAGTTATCCCCTCAGCAATGCTTCAATGACTTTCAAGTGCACTTAAGACAAAAACCTAAATCCTTCAACCATCTTATCAGTTCTTACCTACCTCAATTCAAGCTATTAATGACTTCAAATTCTTTTCTTCAGCTCTATTTAACTTGCTATGCTCTCTCTCTCACAGCTGGTTCTCAGCATCAGTGAAAACAGTGGTTTTCTGCATCCGAATTACCTGTGCTGTAAAACACAGATTGCTGGCCATAACCCAAGAATTTCTGATTCAGGACATCTGAGGTAGGGCCCTGATTCTGTTTGTCCAGAGACTACACTTTGAGTGTCACAATCATTCCCAGATTTTCAACAGTTAAAATGTTAGTTCCTTCTATTCACTTTTCTCAGACATTCCCAAATCTAGGCAAAGTGTATCCTACCACAGTTTCCTACAGTTCCACTACAGCAACACTTTATTCACTGTATAAAAATTGTTTAATTATTTGTTAATCCTCCCTCTACCAAGCTGAACAACTTTTAAGGGCAGAGATTTTAGCTTTCTTATTAATTGCTGCAGAGTATCCAACTGTTAGATGGATTCGATGCTAAATATATATTTATTTCATGAATAGCTATTTCCAGAAAAACTTTAGATGTTTCCTTTCTGCAAGGAATACATTTTTAAAATAATTAACACAAATTCACAACCCTGTTACTTTCATTAGCTCCCATAACCATTTATTTTCCCTGGATAAAGAGAAATATTTAAACCAAATATAAACACATGTTGTTTCACAGGATTCTAACTTCTGAACATTAAGTATCAAAAAGTCAAGTAAGGATACATGCAACTTCTTCGCTCTTCCCACACAAAAAAGCCATAGAGTTAAGGATGACAAAACAAAAAAGCATAAACTGTCTTTTTAAGTCACATATGCAAAAGTAAATAAAACTAACGATTTTTCTCTACTAGGATTCTATGTGTAAGTGTTGAATCTGCCAAGAGCATGTACCCAATCCTATGCCATTTCTATTCTCTCAAAAATTAAGAGCAATATCATACAAAAATACATATTTAATGACATAATTTATATGATTTTTGAACCTCAGTTTTACCATCTGTGAAATGAGGAAACTGAGCTAAATTATACATAGGATCTAGTTCAGATTTGAAATTCTACACTAAGAAAATTCTAGATAAGAAGCTTATATTTCATAAGAATTACCAGCTAAATATTGACAGAGTAGAAAACATAACAGGAATTAAAAATAGGACAGCCCAAATACGGGACATAGAAGATAAAAATATCATAGACAACATCAACAAAACAAAAGGCTGGTTTTTGAAAGAATTAACAAGATTGATGGATCCCTGGCCAAAATGACCAATAAAAAGAGAGAAAAAGCCCA